CTTCAACTTTGTTTCATGGATTTCAGAATATAGGAAAAATCTACAAGTAAAAGTATGTCAATGTCAACTTTATTTATAAAGCACTTTAAAAAAACAGCTGCACCAAATTGCTGTACAGCATTCATAAAACAGCTGATAAAAACATATTGAAGTAAAAAAATAAGTTAAACAGACAAGACACAGATTACAATGTAAACCCTAATAAAAATACCAGAGAATAAAAATGAGTTTTCAGAAGAGATTTGAAGTGTTCCACATTATGGGTAGATCTAATATTGAATGGTAAGTTGTTCCACAAATTAGGAGCAGTGGCAGCAAATGCCCGGTCTCCTCTGCTTTTCAGCCTGGTTCTGGGAATGTGTAGAAGCAGTTTATTACTTGACTGACATGTTCTAGAAGAGGAGTAGTCATGCAGAGGATCCTTAAGATAAGCTGGGGCCAAGCCATTTATAGCTTTAAAAACCAATTAAAGAATTTTGAATTCAGTTTGATAGGAAACTGGCAGCCAATGCAGAGAAGCCAGTACTGGAGTTATATGATCATGTTTCTTGGTTCCAGTTAGGAGTCGAGCTGCAGCATTCTGAATCATTTGGAGATGTTGTAAAGAAGATTGGTCCATATTTTTGTATAATGAGTTACAGTAATCTCAGTATGTAGAAATGAATGCATGAATAAGTTTCTCAAAATCTTGGATACAAAAGCTAGATTTTACCTTTTCTAGAAGGCGCAGATGAAAAAAGCTTGATTTCACATCAGAGTTCACCTGCTTATCCAATTTCAAACAACTGCCAAAAATTACACCAAGATTCTTAACTGATAAAAGAGGGGCTAGGGAACCAAGAATTTGATCAGGCTTGCTGATAAGGCTCTGACTAAAGCAAAAATGAGAATAAAAACATGACATGTTACTAAAAATCTTCATTATAAAATGATGTTGGCAGCTTTAAGGCGCTGCAGGTAGAAGCATTTCACACTTCGTCTGTGTGAGAATGATAAAAACACCAAATCCCACTCAGGATCAGAGACGCCAGTTCAGACAGATGTACCGTTTGGATGAAATATTGTTTCTCTGTCTGTCTGTGCAGTAATCAGACGAAGGAGACAGGGATCTACATCAAGCGCTGCTGTAAGGGATTTTGCATTGACATCTTGAAGAAAATCGCCAAGTCAGTCAAATTTACGTACGACCTTTACTTGGTCACTAATGGAAAACACGGCAAGAAGATCAACGGAACCTGGAACGGCATGGTGGGAGAGGTGAGGATACGTGTCTGTGCTTGCATCTCGTTTTCATATTTTTGCTGTTCACCTCTTCGTGTCACTCAGCTGTGTGTACCCTTCTTGTTGTGCAGTGGCTTTTCAGTGTTTAGTCAGTGCAAATCTGCCAGATTTCACAGGTCAACAAATAAAAAGCCTGTTTGTGTTTCCCAAAGTCATGCGAGTGTAAATTATATGGCCATCACATTGGTTATTTGTCGGCAAAGCTTGCAAATGAAGATTGCACCTAATTCACAGTTTGTGACCTCGTTGTTTAAGCTGCTGGTTCTTAAAAGATGTGTGTTGTTGAAAGGTCGGGTGGTCAGAGTGATCCAAGCAGGATTACAGTAAAATGTCTGGCACTTGGGACAAGTTAAGATGGAGAGAAATGTCACAGTAGAAAATGCTCTGTGACAAAATGGTTTGGTTTAATTTTAGCCTGTAAAAAAGTTGAGAAACAAAAACAACATTACAGTTCAGTCCAGTGCTTTAAGTGGAAAAAGACTAGATACCACATAGCGGTAGCATAATGACCCCCGCATGCACAAATGCACCAGAACTCAGAAGTCTTTATTCCTAATAAATGTCATACTACTAG